GGGGAGCCATGCAGGCAGCCAGCATTACAGGGTTACTAGACCCTAACTCCTTGTTACTACAAGAAATGACGCAATGTGGAATTTAGGACCAGCAACTGGTGGAGCAGTAGGACCTGTTATGATTTAACCTTTTACCACCAGCAGAAAATCCCCTTCTATGTATATATTTTCTAATAACAGGGCAGGACACAATACAAAAAGGATGTTGAAACAGGATTTTACAGTAGCTGATAGATACCATTTGTTGTCAAGAGAGCTCAACAAAGGCCCTGAGATTTAAAAACCAACCTGCCTATCAGTCCACACAATCATGTTCAAATTGTAATGACTCTAGTAAAAACTTCAGTAAGAGACGTCACATTATTACACATGAAGATGTGACTGATTCTCTATTTTAAAGGAAGCCAGTTGTGGGCTAGATCATGCTGGGTGTTGCGTTGTCTAATTGTTTACAAGGTCAAGTTTTTAAGGATTGTTTTTCTATTAGTTTAAATAGGGATTATCAGGTTTCTTTGAATATGTTGGAGTCATTAAAGCTATTGTAACTAAAGCATTAAAGCTATTATAACTAAAGCCATTGATGATTAACTGTAAATATACAAAATCTTTAGAGCTGGCATGTGGAAGTAAAGGAAAAACAAAAAACCTGCAGAAATAATAAAACTCCTCTGATGTATAAGAAAATTTGACTACCATCTGGGGAGGCTGCACAGTCATTATCAGGCAGGGCAGCTCCTTAATCCCAGAGAATCATAACAGAAATATGGAAGTTGATAATGGTAAGTGGGAAAAAAAAAAAAAAAAGAAAGATAAAAAAACATTTTCAGAACATGGCGAGTGAGAAACTGCCAAACACAGATCTGGTCTCCAAACCTTGGCAATATTCCATGGCATTTACTGATTTCAAAGTCCGACTTTAGTTTCTCACACTTGATCTGCAGTGAGCTGTTTGTAACTGGTCTGACTTCACCAAAATGTGTCTGAGGCATTTTGATTCCTTACTTAAGGGTTTTAGTTCTGCAGTATTCACTCAGAACCTGTCCATCATCCTGAGAGCAGCACCAGGACAGGTGGTGCAGGCAGACACTGCATTGCCTGACCCAGCTCGAGATGTAATACTGAAAACACCACCTGCCATGGGAATTTTGTCCCTGTAATGAGGTGTGTGAGGGAGTGCCTACTGCAGTGACTGCATGAAAACACAACTCATCTCACTGTGTTTCGCAGGAGCATGCAGAGAAAATCCCTCCCTTTATTTCATGCAAACAAGCAGTGGAGAAAAAAGACCTCATTACCTGAGAGTCAGCTGAAAGGGACTGAATTCTGCTTCTCATTACAGCAGCTCAGTTCTAGAGGAAATCGAGGGGATGCTGAGTAGGTGCTGTGTTTCACAAAGACCTCAGTTCAGATTTCAGTTAAACATACTCTTTATCTTCAGTTCAGGGCTGCTTAATAGTGTACCTTGCCAAGGCTGTTGAACATGGAAGGGCTGCCCACAGCTGCCAAGGAGCTGGCCAAGTAGCCAGATGAATGAACCTAGAAAAGGTTCAAGTCCATTTGAATAGAAACCAGTGCTGCAGAAGCCCTTGTTGTGACCCTGTGGGTCCATCCTGCCCATTTAAGTTAAAGACTTGGGTAGATTTCTGAACACTTGATTCTAGGTACTGGCCTAGACTGACACAGGTAACGTTGTTTAGCACCACCAAACCACAGGCTGGCAAGGCTAAAATGTTTTTACTGTGTAGTTAGGGTTTTTCTCTTCAGTGGGTATCGTGAAGGTACCAATAAATACTGCACCAGCATCAATACATTGGTATGCCTGCCTTATACATTGACTGTTCTGAGGATTTTTTTTTTAGGATTTACACAGGTAAAGATGGCAGTGGATCTTGAAAGATGGATTTTGACTTGGCAAAGGCAAGCTACAAGAAGAACTAAGTGCTGGTGCAAACTAAGCACTTACCACAGCTGTTTAAAATTCATCAGAGAAAATCACTGCCCTGAAAAAGAGGCTTGCTCTACCCTTGCTGCATTTGGTAAATCTTTGCTGTTAAACTGACAAAAACATCAAGATAATAGCACTGGTATTTTGAAGAGTCAGCCTGAACTTGCAACCATCGTCTCTCAGATTTTCAAGAGCTGCTTCAACTATGAAACTAAAACTTCTTGTGTCAGCTGAAAGAAAGGCTGATGTGGAGTAGAGCAGGTACAGATAGTCATAACAGTGAGGTAAAACAAGCCAGCTGCAAGGCTAGAAGGCAAACAAAAAGGTAAGATTATATTTTTGATGTGAGCCTACAGAGGCTTGTTTAGCAGTTTGACTCTGTGCCAAATAGCTCACTGCGCCTCTAAAAAATTGCTTTACTCTAAAAAGTAATCTGAAAGATCCCTGGACTGCAGTCAACTTAATATCACACATATTTGCATCTTCAAAGCATTCTCTTTGGCTCAGCATAGTAGCAGAAGCAACTACAAGTGGTTATTTCAACCTTGAGGTAATTGGATGCCCCACTACCCCACCCACCAAGCAAATAAATTGACTTTGATGTCCCTTTAATATGTCACAGAACAGAAAAACAAAGGCCTTATATTTAACAGTGTGAAAGTGATTATTCTAAAGATTAACATTTTCAAATTAATACTAAGTGTAAATTGGTATTTGTAGTCCATTCTTTCAGCAGCTTGCTATATTTGAAATATACGGTCTCCAATGACAGAGCTGACTTGTCAAGGCATTTTCCTACAAATAGGAAAATATGTTTTATTACAGCCAGTTATTCCAAAGACACTCACTGAGATGAACTTGATCATGGGGGCCATCTGTCCTGCAAGGCTCAAACCCAAATCACTGTTCAACACCTATGCAGTTACGTGGAGATAAGGAGTTATAACTCATTGGACACTGGCACATCATACTGTAGCTTCAGCTGAAGTTTAAAGGAATGCAACAATAATAATAGCTGAGATCGATGCTGTGCATGTTGGAATTATCTATCTATCTATCTATCTATCTATCTATCTATCTATCTATCTATCTATCTATCTATGTATTTCCAGCACACTTTCAGTCTCTCTACTTGTAGCTGAAAGAATACTCTGGTTACAGGCCAAACTCTGTGCGTTACTGGGCAGATATCGATCAGGGAACACCACTTCCTGGTGTACTTGTTCCCCAACTTGATTATTTCAATCCTAGTACCAGTTCCAGGGCCATTCATGCCTGTATTAGGAGGTGGAACTCATCTTGACAATTAGGTCCTTTGCTATTTTTATGGTAAGTAATGGGGCTAAGGTAAATATATGGAGTGAAAAATTCTGCATTATCAATCAGTCTTAAAATAGCAGGAACACTTTAATGGTTATTCAGGCAAAATGTCACAGCAGACGTGATAAATCTAGAGTAAACCATTGATAGCAACACATTCACTGGAATTCAAACATGGTAAATTTTTTTATTGTCTTAATCTGTGAATTTTAATGTGTATTAGCAAGCAATGCTTCCACTTCGATCTCAGCTCTCCTTTTTTGCATACCTACAAATGCTAGATGTATTTTAAACAAGTTAAATAATGAAAAATGTACATTGGCACCTGTTTTAGTCTGCCTGTTTTAGTTTTCCCTTTGTTTATTCCTAATATTACATGGATCATATATAGTGTTGGAAAAACTCATCCAAAGAACTCCTTTAAATAAAGATCAATTTGCCAATGGCTTTTTACAGACATATATATGTACATAGACATGTAAAAAATAGAAAACACACAGGAACTATCCACTTGATACAATTGGAAAACATTAAGATTTGGAAAACATTAAGATTTGGAAAACATTAAGACATCTGGGTGTACAGCACATATAAACCATATTGTGGTGAAAACAGAAGTGATGATTTGCACATTTGCTGATATCAGCTGCAGTATAACAAAGTCAGCTTGTTCCTTTTCATCATTATAGCTGATGTTTCAGAAATAGGCTTTGATAAAAAAAAACCAAAAACATAAACCCCCAGTTTATGCTTTAAAAACAACTGTGTACAGAACAATAATAATAACAGCATGTGGATTTAAACGAGCTACACAAAAAAACCTTAACAGAAGTAGAATTAGGAGCTTTGTCAGTATAGAAGAAAGTCTCCTAAGTTAGATATGTCAAATCCTCTTTTGGAGGATCTTTGTATCATCTAGGGAAGCCAAACTCCATATTGCATGACAATTTCCCATTATATCTTCACATATATTATCTGAAGCAAGAATGTACAAAACTATAGCTAGGGATACAGACTGTGGTGAGTGTAAGGATCTTTGGCAAATCCCAAATATGGTGTCATGAATTTCTAGCCCTACTTCTATATAGGAGCAGGACTATACACTGTGGGCTACTAAGGCCTGTAAAATGGTGATTAGTTCTGTGCTTATTTGTTTGTTCACTGACATTGCTTGCAGCTTCCTTTCCCAAAGACAGCAGAAGCTAGTGGAGGAGTATATGTAAAATTGTAAAGGAGGAAGCATGCCTCAGAGCTTGGTGGATCCTTCATTAGACTTGTACTTACCTGGTTCTGACTCCCCTCTCTAGTGTATGATGGGAGAAAGAGGTGTCTTGATTCCCTGCTCCATGACTGGATTCATAAAGATACTGGATATTAACTGGATAATTTGAAGGCAGAACAGTCTTATGGGTGCCATTAACTCATCACCCAGCTGCTAAGCCTCGATCATACTTGGTTTCCCATCAGGGCAACACAACTGTGAATGACTGTGCTGCCAATGTTGTGGCAGATCAGCAGACAGCTCCCCCCTGCAGTGGTAAAACCTTTCCTTGGGGTTTCACCCAGAGTAGGTCTGCAAACATGAGTGATGTAGCTGGGCTACAGCATGAAACTGGCATTCAGAAAAGGTCTTGTCCCTGCTATGCATGAGACACAAGGCAGTACATCATGCTCCCATCATATCATGCATTCCTCATGACAGATTAAAAACCATATCCTGAACTTCTTATGTGTGCTTCCGTTTGTTGTTCTGGCTTCACACATTGGCAGTGTTTTATAATAAATCATTAAAGAAATGGCACTTCCATGCTGGGAGAATACTTGCTTGGCTTACTAGCCAAGGTAGACACTGAAGCACATATCTAAGCAGTATTCCTGCATATGGCCACTCTCCTAAAGTGACACCATAAGTAAGGGTTATGTTAACATATTCACTATATTTACATGTTATATCAAGACAATTGTAATCAGTCTCGAGTCTAAGTAATCTATCTCTAGATTAGCTTTAGAACATGCAAAAAATAGAGTAGACATCTATTCCACCTAAGATACAAAGAAGGGGTGTGTTTTCACTAAAAACACTGGAGTTCAAAACTTGTCATCCTCAGTAAAAGGCTAATAGGCATTTTCAAATTGTATAAACCAAGTGTCTAAACAGAAAAGTTTTGACATCGAAGGGGAACTCATCCACATAAAATAAAACTCTTTAAAATGGAATGTAGCCAGTTTCCAAATACATTCAAATATTACAGTGTCTCTATAAATAGAAAACTAGATAGTGCTGAAAAGCTAAAGCAGTCCTTTCCAAATAGTTCAAGTGTATATATTTCTTTCTCTTTACTGTCATTAATACACAGTTGCTTGAGTTGCAGCTGTTCTAGCCTTTGGCAACAGTTCAAGTAACTTCCCCTCTTCTCTCCTTTGCAAACCTCCATCTTCCATTTTGACACCACAGAGTTGCCAGGCATACCTTGATTTCATAAAGTTTTAGGGAAAATGCCATGTGTCCCAAACTGTTGGTGTCTGTACAGCCAATCAAAGAAGCATGTCAGAAATTCACCATGGTCTTTCACTACTATCACTTATGTAGTGGCACATCTCGAGTCCCAGTACTATATTCAGCAGAGGCTATGTGCTGACAATCTCCCTCCTACTCGCACAGAGCCTGCTGAGAAGGATTTCAGAATAAACTTGATTTATTGGACCTCGGACATGATATGGGGACTGTGAATTTGTTGCATAGTCCTGCAGTTGTGATGGCTTGCTTTGACTGCCGAAATATTTCCCCAGTGTGTAGTGCCTTGATAACGTCATTGTTATGTGTGGACTTTCTTCAGAGGGATTGGATTTCACCACCTGCAAAAGAAGTGACATATGTGAGTGCTTTCTGCCTGCACCTAGAAGGATAGATACACAGCTGTGTGCACAGAAATGCTCAGACAGTTCTCCACAAAGCAGATCCTGACACTCTTACCTTGCGTTGCAATTTGCTCACAAACAGTATTTTAGTGGGCCAGCTTTTTATGTTACATACTAACTAAAGTGCAAAATTTTATTCACTTGAGCCTTGAAATCTAAATGTATAGGCCCATTATACTCAATTGGTTGATTCCGTAATGCCTTTATATACTAGACCGTTCTCTTCATTAGGGAAAATTTATCTGAACAACAAAATTCAGAGATAACTTGTCCGTGTATTTACCATGGGAAAAAAATAAACTTAAGACACCCGACTTGAGGAAGGTTTAAATCCTGCTCTGATCCCAAGCACCTGAGGAACACATGCTGTGTTTCAGCTGTGATTCCTGTGAGAATGTGTCACTCTCAGATCTTGCTGCAAACCCAGCCCAGCTCCATGTTAAGATGAAAACACTCGTGTCATGTTTCTCCAAGAAGGGAGTTACAGTGCGGTTTAACATCCTTTTCCCCAGGGAATCACCCTCACATAACCACAATGTGGTTCAGTGACTTACTACAGAAGAATGCTCCTCCTTGTCTCCCAAATATGCATATATTTTGGGGTTTATCATGTTCAATCTGTATGGTATAAACAAACAGCTGTGGGACTAATGAGAGAGAAAGTGAAAGGTAGGGTTGTCAGTAGGCTAATGACTGGGGGGTGATCTCCTGTGAAATGCTGAAGGTCTCATCTCAGTGAAAACACAGTCATTGATGAATAATGAAGCAACATCAAGAGAGACAAAACTTCAGGACCTAGCACAGATGCAGGACAAAGGACCCTGACCCTGGCATTGGCAAATGCAGAGAAAGCAGAAAAGGGGCCAAGTGGTTAAGCTATTTTCAAAATAGCATGTTGACTTGGTAGCTCTTATGCCCATCAATTTTCTGACTTGATCAATCACAGCAGACATTTGAAAAAGCAGATTTTATTTATTAATGCACATTTTTATGCAGAAGCATATTAACTTTTTAAAAAGATCATGTATATTTAGGGTTACTGAACAATCGAAACCAATGTTCATATGTAATGAAGCTCATAATTAATGAAACAATTCGAACAAAATTAAATGTGAAGGATTAACATGTTCAAAGGCTTGAATGACTGGGCAAAAAGGCTATGAGGGAGCTGGCTGAACTAAAAAAGACCAAAAATTATCCACATAGAAAATTAATATATCCTCTGATCAATTTGACACAGGTAAGCCAAGCGCTGTTATTTGTTTTCATGCAATTACTGCAGGTTCATTTTTCTAAATTAGTGCCTTAGATTTTACAACTACTTCAGAACGATGCCACCTTGAACCAATCACCCAAACTGCATTCCTGTTAGGCATAATCTCCCAGGAATGTAATCTAATATTCATCCAGCAGCCAGGCAGTGATTGAGATACCAAAATCTCAAGGTTGCTAGTTTTTATACTGTGACCATGAATTCATTGCCATTAAATTAGGAAATAAATTTGAATCGAAATATAGGTTCCATAAAGGTCTTTACAATTGCTGGCCAATGTACTTCTCCATAAGCATTTGTGAAGAATGAGGTAATTAAAAAGTCAGGTTTGCATGTGTGCATAGACCGAGAAGGATGTTTGGGCAGAAAGTGACAGACATATGAAAGATCTTTTGTCCTAGATTGATATAATCCCTTGGTAATCTGAGTGAAGATCGTAGGGTCTAAAGAGCTGTGTATTTCTATGCTATCAGGGTGACCCAAGGCCCTCTGAAGTGGGTTGGTGGGAACTCAATTTCTCAGGACAGTCGGCAGAAGTAGTTTTCTGTTTGGCCAGCTAGTGAGAATTAAATGAGAACAGCTGAATGCATTTCAATTCCTGTTTTCTGACTGCACAGGATGGCCAGCCCTCCATTCCCACATGGCTGTGCTTTAGCTCAGATGGCATTTAAAGAGGGGTGCTGCATTCTGCGAGCTTAGGAATAACTTTTTTAAGAGAAAGAAAGTGAAAGTACAAAGCAGTAGAGTTAATCTATTTCATCTGGTTTCCTAAAACATGAAAAGTGCTGGTTTTACAGTGTTCTTGGCTCTGTCCTCGAAGGCAAAATTCCATTTTCCTAGTGCAAACTGCTTTAGCACCTGATGAAACTCCACTTGCCAGGATGCAGAAATAAACTGATGACAAAACTGTTAAAACTAATGAGGTATCAAAAGCATTCAAGGACTTTCTTTCTGCTTTCCTCAAGGATCAATTCTGGTTTTTTGGTGGCTGATGGATTCTCTCAAGCACATCTATGCTTCTTTCAGGCACAATGACCTCTCAAGCCTCATTAACAGCTCTGGGAGCCAAATTCTCCCCTGATCCTCCCCAGAAACACATACTCTCGGTTGAGATTCCTCTGGCAGGGAAGCAAGGACAAATCTGCACATGAGCTCATACTAAATGATGGAGGAGTGCATGAAAAATGCTGATGACTGATCACGCCCTGCTGTTTTCCACCCAGTTCCATACAAAGCAACTGAAATATTTTACTTTGAAGCTCCCTGTTTCACTTGAAAGCTCTGTGGAAATGGGGAGCACCAGCAATGACCCATGAAGACATCAACATCTGGGTTCTAGGCAAAAAAGGGTCAACATAGCTGTCTGAGTAAAACGGAAGGAGGCATTTACTCCACAGGACTATTTAACCATTGCATAAATATCTGCTCGGTGACTTGCTCCTCTTTTCCAGCTCCATTTGAACTGAGCTGTGTTCGTGCCTCTCTCATGTACTGAGCAGTGTAGATTAAAGGATTGGTTAACCACGCCTGCTGTGTTTGGTCCCAAAGCAGGACAGAGGCCACGGCAATAGGCTGAAAACATGTGAGCTGCTGAGGAGCCTGAGGTGGAAACCAGCTGTGAGGCTGACACACAGCACATAAGGTCAGATGGGTCTGATAATGCTCCCACAGCTGTGCTTAGTCCCAGTGAGCCTCACACTGGAGCCCAGTCCCAACCAATGGCAGCTCACTGTCCCCGCACTCTCTTTTGGAAATACATTGTTGCCTGGTATTTTGCTTCTGATATTATCTCTCTGTGATACTTAAGGAGAAAAAGCGAAGCCTTATAGTTATTAACTTTTTTTATTCTGCTTTATGTAAAGGTGACTGCTGCGGCTGAGAGAAAATAGCCAGGATTGTTATGCTAGTCCTTGGCCAGCAGACACCACAAGGACACACTGGAGCCTATGCTTGAATTTTACTATCATCACCACTGAATTTCAGTTTGTTTTGTTTAAAATACTCCTAAGTTTAATTAGCCACAGTATATTTTGTTTTCCAGTGTATACTGTGGGTGCCTGATGAAGGAAACCTTTTTTTTATATTTTTGCTTTTTTTGGCTTTTTATGGAAAATATATCATAGTTGTCCTGACCTTTCTTCACAGCAAAAATTGGTGCTTCCACTTCAGTCTTGGTCTCATGGCCCACCTTTGTATCTGTGAAGCTCTATGGAGCTTCTGTGCTAACCCTGCCCAAGTCCAGGTCCTGGGAACAGGCTTGGCCAAGAGTGAGGCTTACACAAAAATAGGCATGACTTGGCAAAATAAGCAAAAGGATTTTATCCTTCTCTTGAGAGATTAAGAAAACATTTGGTGGTATCTCTTACTTGAATTAATTTGTTTTGATGGAAAACAAATTCTAAATTCATGCTGGAAAAATGCTAGCCTTTCACTTGTGTTGGTGATAGTCTTTTTAATATTTATGCAATTTTGATAGCTCTAATTTTCTCCATAAGACATAACTTATGGAGTTCTGTCTTCTAAATGACACATCAACTTGCTTGTGTCATTTTTAGTCATTAACCAAAATCCTGAGATTTCTTCTAAGTAGTAGCTTCTTACAGGCTCAAAGCCCCCAGCTGACTGTGGAACACCATAAATTCATTAAAACTTGATGTCAAAGAGGCATCCTTTGTTGTATCCTTTTTTCCTTTCAAGCTTTTTGGTAACAATTTCTTCTCATTCTATATTTCATTCTATGAAAGAACTTGCACCTGCCATGCCTAGTTTGATCACTCAGAGGAAATGCAATCTTCCTGAAAGATACAACAGTTCAAGTTTTATTGCCCTAGACAGGTTTTAACAGAATAAATTGTGGTAGTTTCCTAGTCTTTTGTAAAAAAGACAACCCATATTCGATTAATAAAAATGAAGATCCTTGTAGCTTCACAGGCAATCTCCCACTCTGTGAAACATGACTTTAACTAAAGAGTTAGCAGAAGGCTTCTCTGTCCTTATATCCAGCAATGAATTGAGGCAGGGGACTACTGACAATGTCTGAGTGCATGATTCCAGTTTTCACTGAAGAAATATTTTTACTGTGAATCAGGAGTTAAGTACCTGGAAAGATATGAGCCTCCTTTATTCCTCAAAGCTTTTTCAGGTTTCCAAAGGACGTAATGTAAGATTCATGGATCTTTTCTGGGGAATCAATGATGTGTTTGGATTCTCAGCAGATGAGCAGGTGGATTTCCTGCTCATACCAGGAAACTGGGAACTGGCCATTTACACCAACAAACTGGTGTCATGGATATGAGGAAGAGCTTGGTTGGAAGCTGTAGGAAAATCTGGTGGTGTCGGTGGCAGTTCTTATGGTAGTTCAACTATCATATGGAAAAATTACTATCAGCCTAATGGTAGAGGGTATCTGATCACTTGCTACTCAACATTTATACCCTGTTTTAATTCAGGGTCACCTACAGTAAGCCAGAGGTGCACTTCTTCATTTGCTATATATACATAAGGTACAAGAAATTCCAAACTGAAACAGATCCTTCTTTTGCTGATGGGGAAGAGCATTCACTATAAAAAGACATAACACACACTCAAAATACATCTTAAAGGAAACCAGTAAAACTTTAAATATCTTGGTTTTTCAAACTCTTTGCTTTCACTGGTTTGGCAGCCTCTTGGCTGATTTTGTGCCTAGGTATAATAATGTGTTGGCTTATTCATTTTTGATTTAATCCATGGACTCCTGTCATTTGTAATATATTGTGAGCATTCCTTGCCAGAATTTCAAATGAACAAAATAATATATTCTCAATTGCCCTACTCATATATTTTTGATGTCTTTGTTTCACCAGCTGAGTAATTATAAAACAGAAGACAGAATTTCTGTAGATTTCAGACAAAGAAGAAAGGAGAACTATGGGTCTGAGCAACAACAAGTGACATTTACACTTCTATTTGTATACTCAACCACTATAACTATCCCAGATAAATCTTTCTCAGACATATGAAAACAGATCTACAGCAGTAAGACTGGTCTTTCAATTTTAAACTCCATTTTAGATGTACCTATGGTTTGATGGGAGTCTGCTGAGCTGCTCAGTGAAGAAGTGTGTGACAGAGGTGTGGCAAAAAGATAAACTGGGTCCGTACACAAGCAGTATCAATACAAAACACACAGCAAATAATACAACAACCTGGAAACCATGCAACATCCTTTGCACAAGAGCATGCCTGATTTTATTTCAAGGAATCACCACTACAGCAGTTCAGCCTGTCCCTGGGTGTCGTTGAACTCTGAGCAGCAAGGGACAAGTGCTGCTGTACAAACTGCTATCCCTGAGGTTTAAATTCAGGCCTAACTTTGATTTACAGATTCAAACCTCATTGTGTACAGTTTTGTTTCTAAGCACCTGGCAGTTAAAATCTCTCTTAAATATCTGGGAATGATATAGGTGTAAACTATTACCTCATGGAAATGGCAGCCGCACTTCCCTTGCAGGAATTCTTTGTAACGTCCCATGGTGATGACGAAGGTGTCAACAACTTCATAGCCAAAATTTTTTGCTGTATCCAGAATAACCAAGTTTTCATTCCACAGGTTTTGTATTTGTGCCTGCATTCCAGACAAAATATTGTAGTGTCTTGTCAGAAGGACTGTTTAAAAGTAACTTTATTCTGCCATGGAAGTGAATAGCAAGACTGCATTTTCAGTAAAGCAAGTATAGAATCATAGGATCATAGAACAGTTAGGGTTGGAAAGGACCTTAAGGTCATCAAGTTCCAACCCCCCCTGCCATGGGCAGGGACACCTCACATTAGACCAGGTCACTCAAGGCTCTGTCTAACCTGGCCTTGAACATTGCCAGGGATGGAGCGCTTGCAATGTCCTTGGGCAGCCTGTTCCAATGCCTCACCACTCTCACAGTAAAGAACTTCTTTCTTATATCTAACCAAAATCTGCCCTGTATAAGTTTAGACCAATTACCCCTTGTCTTGTCACTACAGCGATGAAGAGTCCCTCTCCAGCATCCTTGTAGGCCCCCTTCAGATACTGGAAGGCTGCTATGTGGTCTCCACACAGCCTTCTCTTCTCCCAGCTGAACAGACTCAATTTTCAAAGCCTGTCTTCATACAGGAGGTGCTCCAGTCCCCTGATCATCCTCATGGCCTCCTCTAGACTTTCTCCAACAGCTCCATGTCCTTTTTATGTTATACTCCAGACATGAATTACTATATATTCACTCTTGAAAACAGCTATTACTCCAAGGCTGTTGTAGATTTTTGCAGGAATTATAATTACTTTTCAGCAGTTGTGAAGCTTCTTTCATATGAAGATTTTAATGCTGTTCATAATTATTGCATAACTGGTTTTAATATGTACTTAGCTAATGTGAGGTGTAAAAAAATAAAAAAAAAAATCCTATTATAAAGTTGTCTGTAGTGAATGGTGAAATTGTTCCTGTAAATTAAAATTAATCAAATCAAACTCATTGAGACTGTTTCTTAAAAATGAGTATAGGGCCATGGGCATCTTAGAAATGGTTACACCGAAGAACAGATTGTTATTTCTAAAGATGATGCAGGAAGGCCAGGAATACAAAAATGTTAGCCATAAATTTGGCAAAGTGGTGGATTTGACATTGCAGGCAGAAGAGCTTTGAGAGTAGCTGGCATAATCCAGAAGTCCAGAGCACCAAAACCACATGGATAATTTGGCATGTGATTCCAGTATTGAAAGGGAAGAGAACATAAGTTACGCTGGTCAATGTAGTTGATTTCTGGAGTTTCATAAATTTACTGGATAAGAAACAGAAAAAGGTAAACCTGCGAAACCATAATACTCCTTCTATCGTTACCTCACCTTCCTTTGATCAAAGTTCTGCTGCTTCTTCCTAGGAGTGAACTCTGCTGAAAGCCATGGGAGAAGCCACGACATTTCTTCATGTTGATGCCAACAATTTCCCTAATGCATCCTAATTTGATCACCCAGATAAATTAAGGAAATGGTTGGAAGCAATAAGACATTCAGTAGAGACAAGGCAGATAATACTAACTTAGACAGAAAGAATGGGGAAAATATGACAGGGCAGTCTCCATAGCAAAAGGAAGGGTGAGAGTAGCAGTAGGTCCTACAACAGTGTGTTACGGTTGCAAAAAAGATGTGGGCACCAGTCCCCAGTGCGATAGGAGTGCTGTACTTAAACTACGAAAGCAAATAATTTTCTCTTTTCAACACCTGTGAATAGCTGGAACATTACGCACAGCTCTAGTAAGCACCATTTACTTCTTTTTGCCCTCCAGCTCTTCCCATCCCTGTGTCATCCACATATTTTCTATGGACGGTTCAGTGGAGAGCCACCCTTCAAATTGTAAATAAAAATATTGAATTGAATGAGTTACACAGCGCATTGAAATGGGCCCATCTGTTACTCTGAGAGTCTTGGATATGATTTAAACTGACTGTAACACCCCATTGACATACAAATAACAGACTAGATTCACCACTACATTCCAACTGCTCTGTAATGTTCTGGTTTCACAGGCTGGTTAAAATGGATTTATGGATAGCTGTGCAATGCAGCCAGACCAGTGAATCTGATCCAGTAGTAACAACGAAGGAAGCCTGAGGAGGGCCTATTCTCAATGTGGTATGAGGAGAAATCTGCCTATCCCCGGCTCAATTCCTCATCTTCAGCATCTTATAATATTGGAGCTTCTTCTGGTTCTTGGGATGGCTGACTGAGCATGGCTGTTCAAACAGCGGTGGAATCCGTGAAATAACGGCAAATTGGTTTGAATCCATATTAGCAAGCAGTATGAGAAAATACAAACATTAATCTTTCTTTGATCCATTTAAAGCTTGCTCAGCAGAGGTTGTAACATATTTTGACCAGACAGTAAAATTATTGCTGAAATGACAAGTCTTCCACTAAAATGCACTCTAAATGTACTGTAGCTTACCTGTGATAGAGAATGTATTCCATCCACTGGTAGGTGAAAGCCCATCCCTATGGATTTGATAATTACCAGGATATTTGACAGATTTTCCCTGTTTGGCAAATTAAAAAGAAGTTCACAGATTTTACTTAACAGAAACATCAAAATACACTGCATTTTAGTGTCTTTTTCACTGAGTTTTTCAAAGTCATTTAAGTGCACACACATGAGAAAACAAATGAAGTGGTTTGTTAAGTTGGTTTTTGTAATTTATTATATCAAGACTTGGAATAATACCAAGTACATAGCATTACCTGCTCAACACCTTTTGGATAATTTGCAGATGATTGGAATTAAGCCACTGAACACCACCTACAACTAATACAGTCTGGTCTGTGTTCTCCAGGGGACGTGATCTGAAACCCAGAAAGGAAAAACAACACGTTGCCTTAAAACAGATGGCAAACATTTTAACTGCATTGCATTGCATTTCAATGAACTGTATCTGGCATCCGGATCAGAGGCCTGATGTCATTTTCTACTATTTTTCAACCACACAATACAGCCTGCACACGTTATGTTTAATTGTTTACTGACTTTAATTGTAAAATCTGTTAAACACATTTGTGACTAGAATGAGAATACAAGCAAGCTGGCAATAGAGTTTGTACGGTACCTCTGCAGCAGTTGTTGTAGGGCTTTTTCAAAAGTTGGTCTCTGGTTTGAGCTTATCCAAAACTGGGGGTAGTAGGAGTAACTGATGAATGTTTTCCCCTTGTTGATATTATGATAACATTTAACATCATGAGTCTTTTGCCATTCCTGAAGAGTCTTATTCACTCTTTCTATAAGATAGTACATCATCCCTCTGTTAGTTGAGTCACCTATAAAGAGAATCTTTGGATGGAAAAGGATAGGACTTACTTAGAAGTTATACACTCCAAAACCCAAAAGCTAAGAAAAGAACACAGATAATCTGAAGGTCTTTTAAACCCTTCTCATAAGGTTCAAGAAATATCACTGTGAGCTGCCAGCTCTTCAGCCGTGACATCTCAATATTAAAGTTCCCCTTTAGCAAAAACTGTGTGATCTGATTAACAAAAAATTACATTTCAAAAGGTGAAAAGTACAGGTTATGGATGGCTATAGCTGCACAGCCCTGCATTTTTCATACTTGATAACTTCTATTGCTTAAGTTTACTTTCAGCTGCTAGTATAGAGCCTCTTGTGGTTGCTTGCAGCTTCCTGCTTTCTTTCATCCAGTTTTTTTATGTGGTTTGTTCCTACACAGCATGTCTTCATTAAAATGTATTCCATAAATGTGATTCACCAGAATTTACACCAAAGTAACACGTACACACACACAAACACACACACACACACACAGAGCTGTTGACTTTTTTTGTAGAGAGATGGCCTTTCTGCAATTTCAGAGGGGGTGGAGGAAGAGGGTTATTTTGGTGGAAGACATGAACAGAGTCCTGGCATGTATGATGTGACCACCAGGAAGCATTGTGGCCTGAAGGGAGTTAGAAGTGCTGTCAAAAAGACAGAAGTACTTCAAGTATAGCAGTTTTCACTGGGCAGCTCTGAACCTGCAAGTGAATGAACAAGTCAGATTGGGGCTTGCTCCTACTCATTCTGTAGACTCCCCTGAGAAATCAAACATCTCTGTATGTGGAGACCGCAGAACTTAGCGTATGGGATTTTTTAATGTAATTTTCCTATATTTAGTGGCTAGAACTAGCATTTCCTCCTGCTGAAGAGAATATTTAAGCAATGTCAAGAATCCAAAGGGGAAGAGAAGCCAGGTTCACTGTGGTTTGCCAATGAAACTGTGTGTGTAATCAGCTATTACCACTATCACCTCAACCAGAAATCCACACAGAGGAGCATAAATATAAAACTGGGAGTCAGAAACCCCATAGAGCCATAACACAGTAACAGCCCTGTTTTCTGCACAGCAGTATGCAACTTCTCCTACTTCTGGCACTCAGAGTAGTTGGCACCTTGTAAGATGGGTTTTATTGTTTGGTATCTTAATTTGATTTGGGACTTGATGCTTTACCACTTCCACCTTGAATATTTAGTTATGCAAATAAAATTCAGACTGCACAAGATTACGTGTTTAAGAGTACATTTCCAAAGCTTCTCTTAGAGATTTTATGTGGTGAAAGCATCTTGGACTCCTCTTATCTAATACCTCTCTATTTATCTATTACCTTCAGGAATGTCAGTTTTAGGAACTGATTCCAGTTCCCAGTATAAACCTATTCTGATTAAAAATAAGCCACTACAGTATATCAATGATGGTTCCCACAGAACAGAAGCAGTTTCAGATGAACATACTCCAATCTGGTGGCAGGGTCAAGAATGGCATGTGTCGTGGTTTAAACCCAGTCAGGTAATTCGTTCGCTCACTTCCCCCCCTTTTCTTGCCCTCCCCCTGCTCTCGGAGGGACGGAGAGGAGAATCGAAAAGAATGCAACTCCCACGGGTTGAGATAAGAACAGTTTAGTAACTAAGGTATAACACAAATCACTACTGCTACCACCAATGATAATAATGATAAAGGAAATAACAAGGGAAGAGAATACATCATCTCACCACCAGCCGACCGATAACTCGCCCCCCCCCAGCCCGACCAAGCTCCGACCGATACCTCCTCCAACCCTGCAGTCTCCCAGCCCTTCCGGCTCACTCCCAGTTACCTCCTGGGCATGACGTGCTGTGGTATGGAATACCTCTTTGGTCAGTTTGGGTCAGGTGTCCTGTCTCTGCTTCCTCCTGGCCTCCCCTCCTCCCTGGCAGAGCATGAGGCTCACAAAGTCCTTGGCCAAACCTAAACATCACTATCAGCTCTGTTCCCAAGCTGAAAGTCAAAACACTGCACTGCACCAGCTACCAAGAAGGGGAAAAATGAGTGCTACTGCTGAACCCAGGACATTATCCACCCCTTATTCCATACCATTCACGTCATGCTCAGATCCCACATTTTCAATATACCATCACTCTTATCTAAGTGCATGGACCAGTAGCTATAAAGCTGCTGAATCCATCTGGTCCATGATGTCAGGCTCCATCTCTTGTAACAGTCTTCCAGAGCAGGAGAGACTGTGTGCAGTGTTCACACTCGTGAATAACCTGGGCAATAGTGTCCATTGCTAAGTCCACTCCTCGATCATGAGTCCATCTCTGTGTTGCATCTCTGCTCTGATGGCCTGAAGTGCCATGGGCCCACCAGGCTTAAAATAATTCACCTTTACGTTGCCAATCTAAGTCCATCTGAGCCACTTCAATCTTAGCCGCTTTATCCACTTGTTGGTTGTTCTGGTGTTCCTCAGTGGCCCGACTCTTGGGTACATGGGCATCTACATGACGTACCTTCACCACCAGGTTCTGCACCCTGGCAGCAATATCTTTCCACAGTGCAGCAGCCCAGATGGGTTTACCTCTGCGTTGCCAGTTGCTCTGCTTCCACTGCTTCAACCACCCCCACAGGGCATTTGCCACCATCCATGAGTCAGTATAGAGATAAAGTACTGGCCACTTTTCTCGTTCAGCAATGTCCAGGGCCAGCTGGATGGCTTTCACCTCGGCAAACTGACTCGATTCACCCTCTCCTTCAGCAGTTTCTGCAACTTGTCGTCCAGGACTCCATACAGCTGCCTTCCATCTCCGATGCTTTCCCACAATACGGCAAGAGCCATCAGTAAACAAGGCATACTGCTTTTCACTTTCTGACAGTTTATTATATGGTGGGGCCTCTTCAGCGCGCATCACCTCCTCCTCTGGTGACATTCCGAAATCTTTGCCCTCTGGCCAGTCCATGATGACTTCTAGAATGCCTGGACGACTGGGATTTCCTATTCGAGTTCGTTGTGTAATTAGTGCAGCCCATTTACTCCATGTAGCATCGGTTGCATGATGTGTAGAGGAGACCCTGCCTTTGAACATCCAGCCCAGCACGGGCAGCCGGGGTGCCAGAAGGAGCTGTGCTTCAGTGCCAATCACTTCCGAAGCAGCTCGAACCCCTTCATAGGCTGCCAGTATCTCTTTCTCAGTTGGGGTATAGCTGGCCTCAGATCCTTTATATCCCCGACTCCAAAAGCCGAGGGGTCGACCTCGAGTCTCCCCTGGAGCTTTCTGCCAGAGGCTCCAGGTAGGACCGTTCTCCCCAGCTGCAGTGTACAATACATTTTTTACATCTGGTCCGGTCCGGACTGGTCCAAGGGCTACTGCATGAACTATCTCGCGTTTAATTTGCTCAAAGGCTTGTTGCTGCTCAGGGCCCCATTTAAAATCATTCTTCTTCCGGGTCACATGATAGAGGGGGCTTACAATCGAACTGTAATTTGGGATGTGCATTCTCCAGAACCCCACTGCACCCAAGAAAGCTTGCGTTTCTTTCTTATTAGTTGGTGGAGACATTGCTGTTATCTTGTTGATCACATCTGTGGGGATCTGTCTACGTCCATCTTGCCATTTTATTCCCAAAAATTGAATCTCCTGCGCAGGTCCCTTGACCTTACTCCGTTTTATGGCAAAACCGGCTTTCAGCAGGATTTGGATTATTTTCCTCCCTTTCTCAAAGACTTCTTCCGCTGTATCGCCCCACACAATAATGTCATCAATGTATTGCAGGTGTTCTGGAGCTTGCCCCTGTTCCAGCGCATTCTGGATCAGTCCATGGCAAATGGTAGGGCTGTGTTTCCACCCCTGGGGCAGTCGGTTCCAAGTGAACTGGACACCCCTCCAAGTAAAAGCAAACTGTGGCCTGCACTCTGCTGCCAAAGGGATTGAGAAAAATGCATTGGCAATATCAATCGTGGCATACCACTTTGCTGCCTTTGACTCTAGTTCATACTGAAGTTCTAGCATGTCCGGTACGGCAGCACTCAATGGTGGTGTGACTTCATTCAGGCCACGATAGTCTACTGTTAGTCTCCATTCTCCATTAGACTTTCGCACTGGCCATATGGGGCTATTGAAGGGTGAGCGGGTCCTGCTGATCACCCCCTGACTCTCCAGTCTACGGATCAGCTGATGGATGGGAATCAGGGAGTCTCGGTTGGTGCGATATTGCCGCCGGTGCACTGTTGTGGTCGCAATTGGCACTTGTTGTTCTTCAACTTTCAGCAACCCCACAGCAGAGGGATCTTCTGAGAGACCAGGCAAGGTGGACAGCTGCTCAATTTCCTCAGTCTCCAAAGCAGCAATACCAAAAGCCCACCGGTACCCTTTTGGGTCTTTGAAGTACCCTCTCTTGAGGTAGTCTATGCCGAGAATGCATGGAGCCTCTGGACCAGTCACAATAGGGTGCTTTTGCCATTCCCTCCCAGTCAGGCTGATTTCAGCCTCCAGCACAGTCAACTCTTGGGATCCTCCTGTTACTCCAGAAATATAGATGGGTTCCACCCCTTGACAGCTTGATGGCATCAGGGTACACTGTGCACCGGTATCTACTAGAGCCTTATACTTCTGCGGGACTGATGTGCCAGGCCATCTGATCCACACAGTCCAGTAAATCCGATTGTCCCCTACCTCCACCTGGCTGGAGGCAGGGCCCCTCTAACAGTCGTCACAGCATTGGACACCTAAGTCGTGTTGAAAGGGATTATTCTTCGTTATCACAGGAGCTGGAGTAAAATCAGCTCTTCCACTCCATCTGGGAAACTGATCACCAGAGACTGAAGCCGTAGCTCTCATGGGACGATCAGTCTTGGCCCTTGCTCCCCTCTTCAGTTCACTCACCCGTTCCTCCAAAGCTGAAGTAGGTTTTCCATCCCACTTTGTCATGTCTTCTCCGTGATCCAGCAGGTAAAACCATAGGGTACCCCGTGGCGTATACCTCCTGTATCTCCTCTCTTGAACAATAGGACGCCTTTTGTTAATAG